AGTGAAACCGTCACGGAAAGCTCACTAACTTGTTTGAAACTGAAACTGTTTAATAGTTGTGTAGATATAGATATTGTACTTGCAACACCTTGACAGGGTCATGTACCATGCTAAAATAATTTTAAGATCCTAAACTGTACATGTGTAGTTCTATTGAATCCCAGAAATAGCGACTTATGAATGTTTTTTTTTTAAATGAAAGTTTTGCTTAATGCAGTTGTAGGGGTTCCTTAGTTAGGCGATGGTGGTAGGTTCCTATCACGGATATAATCAGGAGTAGCAAAATGAAAAGAGGTTTCGTATTAAATATCGGCGCGCGAGCAGACGAAGTATAGATGCGTGCGTATGAGCGGCGTGCGCTCCGCGTCGTGGTCAGTTTATCACTGGCGATCTGCAACGTCTATCGATAGCTTGCATTCAATAGATCACACAAAAAATATTAAACAAAAGGATGCGCTAAAGGCTACCATTCACAGGCGCGCCCATCCGCCGGATTTGTCGCTGGCGACAAGTCCGCGGACAAATCCGCGTGTGAATGTATTGGTGAGCGCGGCTCGCGGCTCGCGGCTCGGCGCGGCGCTCGCCGTCAAGAGACGCGAGCGCCGCGCCGCACCCCAGCCACGCCGTACAAATCCGTACGTGTGTGTGCTTTCACAGATTTATCGGTGAACTTGTCAGTCATTTGTAGTGCGTGCACGCAGAACCACCTCTTAACTTGTTAATTCTGTATCACGTCTATATCACTTTTTTGACGTTTATGCGATAGTGTTTTAAGTCAAAAAGTTGAACATAATACGCATTTAAGTTGATATCAAGTTAATATCATTTTAAAGAGTTGATCATAATACGCTTAATTTGATGTCATTTTGATATCGCATTTTTCGGAGAGCATAATACGTAATGTGAAATTGACATCAAAACAATATCACAATTAGCGAACATAAAGAGCTAATTGTATCTCTTCTACAATTGGTTTATCTCTTCTACGCATGTCCTCGGCATGAGCACGTTCTAAATAGTCCATTACTAACACGAAACGAGCCATTTTACTCTTTTTTATTAAAAAATAAAGGAATTTGATACAGAAAAACCACCTCCTAACCTGTTAAGTCTGTATCACATTTTTGACGTTTATGCGATACTGTTTTATGTCAAAAAGTTGAACGTAATACGCATTTAAGTTGATATCATTTTAAAGTTGATGTCATTTTGATATCGCATTTTTCGGAGAGCATAATGCGTAATGTGAAATTGACATCAAAACAATATCACAATTAGCGAGCATAATTGGCCTGCAGTTGTGTTGTTTGTATCACGAACGAGTAAACGAGTATAATAACATGTCGTTCGGCGATCATAAAGAGTTTTGGCAAGAATTTATCCTGCTGTTTAAAGAGAAAACTAAAGAGAAACAGGTGGTTTACAGGACTGAATGCATTGCAGCAATTTTAAATGCGTATACATATATTGTTCGTTGTTTCAGCCATTCCTTTGTCCAGACGCGCTTTTTCTTTTTTTGCTCCGTTAAAAGTATTGCACCGTCTACTGAAGCGACTTTTGTGCGTTTGGAAAGCACCGGTAGCATGGTAGGGTAGGGAAGAACGATACGCGCGAGGCTCACCAAAGTACACAAGCGACTGGACTCAACTGGACTGCAACTCGGCGCTCGTGTAGTGTGTGGGCAATGACGGATTTGTCCACGGATGGGTACGGCTCGGGGTTCGGCTCGCGGTGCGTGTAGTGAATGGTGGGCTTAAGACTGCTCGTACAGCCCGGAAGCTATACTTGCGCGTCGTTGATACTAAGCGCTTCGTATAGTATATAGTTAAGCTATGTAAATATTTAGTTTATAAGATATTGGTGCCAATTCTGACGTGATTCTCTAAACTTAAAACTAAATTTAACATCAGTCTCTCCTTTTCATTCTGTATAGAGAATGACAAGGATATACTGCTGTCAAATTTAAGTTTAGGATTAGAGAATCATGCTAGAATCGACACCATTGTATATAATATATAATTATGTAATACGTTAGTATAAGTATTTAGATGTAAGTTATTTATAAGTCTGTATTAGTTATGTAAGTTATAATGTAATAAATAATGTTGTATGTGATTTTATATAAATAAATATAAATACTATACATGCCGCCACACAGTATTATATTTAATATCTCTGCAATTTACCATATAATAATAAATTTATTCGTAAGTACATAGAAGATTGAATACCCGGATTTCTATGCTAGGATTATAACCCTGTGTAACAGAAATCAGTGCCTTCTCCCAAAGACATTTTAAAAACTACTTAATTTACAATTAAATATTTCGTGTCCTGAGTGTGTGTGTGTGTCTGTGTGTGTGTGTTTTACTACATCATTACTGGGTAGTTATGAAAATTTTATATAATATAAATATATATTATACGTTATATAAGTACATATATATTTCTATTTACTCGTGTTCTCTATCTCTCGGACTATATAAACTTACATCACCGTGTAAACGTCTTGATAAGCACGGGAGCAAGCACAGTTACCGCTAATGTGGTGTTGGTTTTGTAGTGGGTTATGGTAGGTATTTAACGGCTTTTTATGAGAACGTCCATTTAAAATAGATCAAGGATTTCGGGCCGGCCAAATTGGACACGAAGCGTGAAGTCAATGACTGTGTAATGTTTGGTTTGAGACTTTGGGTATGTATTTAAGTGTACAGAAAAATAAAACAAAAGCTACCATGAAAGATTTTTGAGCGAAGGTCTTGCGATAGGCTTCTCTTTCCTTGAGTCCTCAGAAGATCAGTTAAGCCCTTTTGATTAAGTCTAAAAACAATTAGGACTAATAATATTAAAACTACCGACGTGACGTAAGTAACTGCTTTTCAATATACATATTTAGGGAAGCGTGTGTCCTTTTCTTGCAATATTCTTTGACAGTGGTCCGTGACTAAGGAAGTACTGAACCTAATTTAAACATTATTGTACGAAAGGTTCTAAAACCATTATTATGTCCTGCTTATTTGACATGCCCGTTTTTCTGTAAAAAGTACAAGAAACAAGTACAAAACAACTAAAAATATAACAACCACGTTGGTCGGGAACCAAATTACCACTCGCGCTTTGCCTATCCGTGGTCCATGGTCCCATTGCCTATACCTTTTTTAACCGAAAAATATTGGGGGTTCTGTGTTTGACTGTATATTTTTTTGTTATTTTATTTTTTATGTATGTTCACCGATTTCTTCGTTTATTGTGGACCGATTTCCAAAATTATTTAGATTTGGGAAAAGATGGCAGCTTTCGGCTTCCAGAAAAGATAGAGTAAAAACTTTTTGGTTTTGCTCAACTTTTTGTGGGGTTCAGCCATGTCCCCAAATAATCATTATAAAAGCTTAAAGCATACCTAACTATTTAATTTTAGCATAAGGTTACTTTAGGAGTTCCTAATGCCATATAATGTTAATATTGTAAGTACTTACAGTATAAGATAGTCTAGGCACATATTAACTGATTTTGATCATGCGAATGATGTCATACATTTTAGACATGAGCAACGGCTACATATTTTGTACGTGATTCGCGATGCCAGGTTTCGATTATGAATCAAGTGACACAATTCTTTGGCGCGAGCCCACGCAGAAAGCGAGGGTATTATCCGTATTGCCTGCAATCCTGCATTACATACAATACAATACAGTGAGGCATTGCTTTATAACACCTTATGTAAGCTCAACGATGCATACAATTACACTTCTACACTACAGTTACTTAATACAAATGACCTATGGTAAAATTGGTATTCGTGAGCAGACTTAATAGAGTAGTACATCAAAAGTAGGTGAATCATTTAACCAGATTTAACCCACTGGTTAATTCAGCAATCTGTATTTTAATTTTAGATTACTTTTTTGATTTAACCCACTGGTGAATTCAGCAATTTGTAATTCATATTTTAATTATAATACCAATACCATGCATTTTTTGATTACTGTATTAGGTAGGTACCTACTTGACATTATTTAAGAATGGAAATTAGAGCCTAGAAATAGTAGCTTCTATTCAAAACACTGACGATTTGGACGCGACCATAAGTCATAAGTACCTATTTTGTCAAAAAAAAATTTGCTACCCTAGACGTTCGGCCCTATACACAGGGCTCAGTATGGTGGGAGAGAGCGTCACATCCATTTTATAAAGTAAAAAATTAAAATTAATACATAAATAAGACGATGGCTACATTGCTTTGCATTTGCCCTTCCCAATAAGGAAGAATGGAACTAAAAAATATATTAAATTAATAAAACTAATGACATGGCTGTGTGGGCATTGTTCCCTTTGCCTTCCCTGAAAAGGGGGAGAGCCAGCTACAAAAAAATGATTTGGTCAGTTAATATCAATGTTACCGACTTAAAAGACTTTCCCCAAACTAAGGGTAACAGTAAGTCAAGTGGGGAGTTTAGCCCTAGCACTCCTTGTTTCGTAGGTATTTGCTAGTTGTATTGTACATTTTACAACAGTTTCTCGTTTTCATTCCATATAGAGCATAATATATATGGATATAGGTACTGTTGTCAAATGTACAAGAAATCTTTTAGTTTCGTGGGGAATTCATATACCCGTTTAATATTTTTTTAACACATTATTCTAATCGTCGTTGTTACATGTATGTTACATCAACCTATATTCTATCACTTATTATTAATTTAAAAAAATAGGCACCTATTAGTTTTTAGGAGTTTCTAAGTGCATTCTTATTTAACCATTTTTCAACTTTTTACTGCAACTTTGAAACAACATTTCACGATTCAAAATTTACTCTTTGGATACTTATTATGGCCCTTAAGGTTAAGGGCTGTAACCATAACATTTAAAAGAGCTACCATGTTTTGTAAATATTTAATGGGGGCTTTTAATTTAGCGCTTTAGGGTAATTTATTAGGAATTAGGAAAATTTAATTGGAAATTGTTAATATTGTTTACCGCTGTCACTGTCAATGTCAGAGGCGTCTTACGACATTAATGTGATCAAACTAATAGTTTTGTATTCATTATTCAAATTCTATATTTTACCTCAATTTCCCATCCTTTCCCATTATATTGTATCAAATAATACATTCCATTTTATTTTTATTTTAATGAATGTGTAATACTCTTTTCCATTTAAGCTTAAACAAAGTTTAATTACATTCTGGTAACAAAATAACATTAAACTTTACCCACCAGTTTTCATTTAATAATGGATCGCAGTAAACCCAAAAATGCATCCGAAGGCATCGCCGTAAGTACACTTTAACTTTATTTTGACTTGGATAGATTTTTACTAACTTGTGTAGTTTAGATGTTTTCAGAACTAACTTAATAGGTACATTAAACCACAACTTTTATTCATTTTAGAACATAATATCTGATTATGGCTGAGTGGCCAATTGCAGATAAGAGATCGGAAAAATATTCATTTTAATTTATTTTATGACTACGTTTTCACTTTCAGCCAATGGGAATAACTACAATTAACGACATAGCTGACAGTAACCAGCCAGAATCTCGATACGAATGCCCGGTATGCCTGAACTGGTTACGAGATCCTGTGATTACAACATGTGGCCACAAATTTTGCAACAGCTGCATCACATCTTGGCTACAGTGAGTAATATTTACCTGTTTAAAGAAAATGATTGTTTTGGATGTAAATTGCTATTATTATTTAATATTATAGAGAGGTAGGCCAAAGCAGATATAGCAGACTCAAATTGGTGTTGTGTTAGTGGTTGTATTCGACAATTTTATTGTTTGTTGATAGTATTGTAGACAGCAGCATTGAAACTAGCAATTAATTATTTGATTATATTTTACATTGTACAATAGGACAGTTTTACAATAATTATATAGGAATGCACAATACAAATTGCTAAGGTAGCAATCTCTACCATGCAACCTTTGGCTACACATAACAATGCCAATGATTAAGGGGATCTACAGGCTAGTAAAAATAATTATTAACAGATGTAAAATAATAATAAACACACTATAAAATGCAATATACAGAAAATAGATCAAGCAGAGTCCACTGTGAGGCAATGATCCTTCATTTCAAAAACAAAAAGTCCCTTGACTGTAGGTTTGCACTGGATATTTAAATAATAAATAAATATTTCCAACACTCACACCAATTAGCCTAGCCCCAAAGTAAGCACTATAAGACTTGTGTTATGGGATACTGGGGTAACGGATAGAATACATATACTATACATATCTACTATATAAAAATAAGTCGGGTTTTCCTTCCTGACGCTATAACTCCAGAACGCACGAACCGATTTCCACGGTTTTGCTTTCGTTGGAAAGGTCTCGGGCTTCGTGAGGTTTATAGCAAAGAAAGTTCAGGAAAAATTAAAAAAAAACTTCTTTTAATCACCAAACGAAATGTTACATAAAACGAAGCCATCTGGTGGCGAAACGGAGTTCGCCGGGTTTGCTAGTATAAGTATATTTTTATAGATATACATATTAAACATCGATGACTGGAGTACAAATGCTCGTATTCATCACACAAACATCTGCCCCCACCGGGATTTGAACCCGGGACCTCTCGAGCCTGCGACTCCATGAAACCAAACCTCTCGACCACTGAGGTTGTCAAATATTAATAGTAATTATTGTGATAATTATCAAAATAATAGTACAGTGTTTAGTACATTTTATTATTAATAATAATAATGAATATAAGAAAAATTCTTGTTTGAAAATATAGATAATTATCTAAAATAAATATAAAAATCCTTTTACTTCTAGCTTTAAAAAATATATGAATAAATTAAAATTGCATTATATTTGATTAAACATTAGTAATAGCAGTCAAAAATTACAATAATTAAGTCGTACACATATCAAAATTCATATTTTTTTTTCAACAAAAGTATAAAAAATCTTTCATTTATACACATGTTATTTGATTTCATAGTTGGATAATTATCAGATAGTTTTTGGAAAATTATCTGATAATTCCACCATTCCACAGTTCCACCATTTAATAGCTCTTACAAAGAATGACTTGGCTATGATTTCTTTTCTAATTTAGCTGGTGTCAATTTAGGTATATGATTTCATTGTCATTATATAATACCAAGACAATGTTAATAAAATGAAAATGAAATGTAAATCATATAAAAATTACTGCCACCAGCTCCCTAGCTAGCTATTACTGAACTTTAATTTCAATTATTTTTCCTTCACAGAAACAGTGGACATTGCCCCATAGACAATATAAACCTAAGTATGAAAGTGGATATATTCCCAGACAACTACACAAAGAGGGAAATACAACAGCAAAGGATGTCTTGTCCTTTTGCTGATAAAGGTTTGGTGTAACTTTTATCCATGTACTTTATTTGAATCTTAAAACTATTTCTCATTATGAATGTTTCTTGGAAAAATCTCTGTCCTTCTGTGTTTAGAGCTATTTGTGACGTCATAATGTCTTTGCTTGCTCCTTATATACATATATTTTTAGATTAAATGTTATTGTTTCTTTTCATTTTGCAGGTTGTACTTTAAAAGTAACACCATTGGACTTGGATGCTCACATAGCAGCCTGCGAATACAACCAACCCGAAACATCAAACCAGATAGACATCAAAATACCATGCTCCTTCCAAGCTGTTGGATGTAAAGAAACTTTTAAAAGTCAGGAAGAGATGAATGCACATCTCCACAATGAAACCCAGAGTCATATGAGTGTAAGATCTATCATTTACTTATTTCATTTACATCATCAAAAAGTGAGTGCCCATGTAACCTAAAATTCAGTTAGAAATTTTTGATATTTTTGGACAAGTTGCCTTGTATTCTTAACTCTTAGACACTTCCGTTGACCGTGAGCGGATGCTGGCACAATGACAATGCTAGTGTGGAGGTCAAGAAATACTTTTTTTCTACAATGCAATACATCTATAATGCATGACATTTCACCAACCATCATATTGTTTTGTATACTCTGTTTTGTATAACATTCTGCATGACCAAGTTTGCACAAAAATATTTAACAAAAGCATCAATAATAAATGTATTTGCATTGTCTTAACTACATGCATAAACAGTGGAAATAATAGTGCCACTGGGTTATATAAACTTTTTTCAGTACATTTTGAATGCATACTCAGAGATGAAAATAAATAATGACATGAATGCAAGCATAGATCCTAAAGAACAGGAAGCAATGATACTATGGGAGCCAGACAAGAATGAGGGACAGAATCCTGCACCACCAATCACTAACATGGGCACACTGATACGGTAAGAAATATATATATTTGTTATTTTAGAAACACAGCAGTTAACAGCTACAGAATACCATTATCAAAAAGGAAAGAAAAGTAATATATGAGGATCAATATTTAACCAATAGCTACACCTGAAATCCATTTATTTAATCGTAGTGTGCAAACTCATGACAAGTTTCTGAACATTCTGTCCATTCTTAGATTCAATTGTGCTTTTGAATGCAGCCCAATGTTTCCTCTCACATTTGTCGAAAATATTTACTTAATTTAAACTCTGTAAAGTTTAACATATAGAAATTTGTTTTGGGCATAGTTTACTGTAGACATCAAACTTTAACCAATATGGCTATGGACAAAAAAGTAGGTAAAACCATACTGTTTAGTATCTGTAGTCGTGTGTAAAAATCGGAGTCAATGATTAAATCATAATCACGAATTCTGAAGTGATGTGACCTCAATAATAAAGAAAGAGAAGATTTCCAACACTCACACCTATTAGCCTAGCCCCAAAGTAAGCACTGTAAGTCTTGTGTTATGGGTTACTAGGGTAACAGATATATAACTATCTTTATCTACTCTGATACTATAATACAAAGATTCTAAAACTGAAAACAAAATGCTTATGACAAACATTACGTACAGGCCAAAAATAATAAAAATAAAGTTTAATTACGATACAGGTCTTGTATGGACACTTGTAAAATAATATAACTTTTTAATCATGACGATAATAATAATAATAATGTTTATTTCCAATAAATTACACGTTCTTACATGGTAATATTCTTAAAAGACTATTTACACTAAGGCTTATTTTACATTAAATATTAAATGACATCTTCAGCCAAACTAGGAAGTTCATCCTGTATTTTGGCTTCAGCGCCCTTCCCCTATTTCCAGATACAGAAAAAAAAGCCAATACAAACTATAAACAAAAAAATATGAAATCAACGTTATTCAAAATTAAAAAAAGTTTATTTACTTAAAGATATTAAACTTTTATATGTATATGTATCTGTGTGTCTCTATGTGTGTCTGTGTGTGTGTGTGTGTGTGTGTGTGTGTGTGTGTGTGGGTGTGTGGGTGGGTGGGTGGGTGTTAGTGTATGTATGTGTTTGTAAGTGTTCTAAGGTAAAAAAAAAAGAGAGAGATGGCGAGATTTAGAATTTACCTGGTTCTAAAAATTATTTAAGTAGCTAAACAAAAAAAGAAAGAAAAGGCTGAAGGTGATGGCCGGTTGATGGTAGCCGATTTAGCGTCTCAGCTTCCAATTAAAGTGAGAGTTGTAACGGGCGCCGGGAAGCTGGTAACATCTCCAGCTGTCCGGAATAACTTACGGGAACATCGTGCTTTTAATCTCAAAGCCAGTTTTGACTAGGGGTTTGAATGATAAAGGTGTTTTTCTCTTCAATTATTTATTGTGCATTTACATACCAGAGTGGAATCCAGACGTTGAGGTACATTATGTATTTGATTTACTTCACCTTTACGGTTGGTCCATTCAAATGAAGGGAAAAGATATCAAAATGAAATTTATAAAGAAGATAAAGATATCATAAGAATTAAAGGTAAAGAGCTGAAACAAAAGAGACTTTTGTGAGACCAGGCAACATGGCTAGTTATATATGACAATCTTAATCTTAATTCTTACCTGCAATCGCAGCTCTTATAAAGTTTTATTAAAGGGCCATTGGCACCTATATTAATTTACATTAATGCGATGAGCGCATTTTGTGGAAAAAACAAGTTAAATTTAATATTTATGTTTCACATTTTAAAAAGATGACTGCTCATTTCTGCAATGAATCGAAACGAAAAGTAATGTTGCCAGGTCGCACTTCGAAAAACGCCGCGAGTCTCAGTGTTGACGCATTAAAATTTAAATTTGGGCATGGACAAACCATAAATTACAGAAGTTTACTTAAATTTAGAATGACAATTATTATATATTTATTTTAATGTTATATAAAATTAAGCCAATTTTTAAAGATGTGTTTTGTTTATTAAAAATAGGGAAAATCCTTAAGTGACGGATGTCAAACTATATATTATTTATTTATGTATGTGACGGCGTAGATACGACGTTACAGTGTGTACCTAAAAATGTGCGTGTATTTTATCGTATATGGGTCAATCAACTATTCCTTGCTCGGTGTTACCCTTTTCCTGTCCCATAAGCATAATACAAAATCTACCAAAAAATATGCGCTAAAATCATAATTTATGTATTCCTAGAAACATTTACAAACATATAATCAAATAAATATTGAGTTTTGATTCAAACTAAACAATCTTTTATGGTTGTCCTAAAGACAAATCGGTCATTTCGTGATATCACGGAATGTCCTCCGGAAACAGGTCATCAAAACTATTTCCATTACGAAAAAAAACTCTATGAAACAATGCTCAGTAATTGAAAAAAATCACTTTCAAGTATGTACTCTGTTAATAAAACATATTGGTATTTATTAAGGTTAATAAAAATTACCAAACTATATTATTTTACTTGTGTCCCCAAAAATGTTTGCTTAGCTAACGTCACCTGGACCACCGCTAATTTAGTATGCGAAAAAAACATAGATGACGGCTGAGTACGTTAGCAACAAGGCCGTCTCTCTAAGAAGATGTCGCGTCCTACCGCCATTTTTATTTCAACAAAGGCGTGGCGTCAGTCGGGCGAGTTCCGTAAGTGAAAGTGCGTGTTCTTATTGTCGTTCCAGCGGACAACCGTCAGAATTCCATAAGTACTCAATATTTAACAATTAACTATATTGTACTAGATGTTGTGTCAGCTAGATTTTACTGTGAGAGTAAGAAAAGAGGCAATAAAACGTTATTATTTAATAGGAAGCCAAAAGTTTATAAAACGTCTTACGGACAACCAGTCACTTGGACAACGAAATTGGTGGTCCGTAGGACATTTTGGTTGTCCTTAGGACTAATAATATTATTTTGATAATAAACATCTATAAATTAAATATTTATTCGTGCATTGGTTGTGACTATTGCTTCTACACCAAGAGGTTTTGAATTCCGCACAGTAACTTTTGTGTTAATGAACATGTATCTGAGTTCATCAGATGTTTAGTACCCATAGTATAGTACAAGCTTCGGCTTAGTTTGAGACTAGATGCCTCGATGTGGTCTTGAATGCCATGTGCTGAAAATTTAATTTGAAAATGGGATTGTTGAAGAAAGAAAAATCGAGACGATACAGAGAGAGGCTTAAAGCGTGCCCATAAAAATTAGCTGAAAGGAAGAGAAAGAACTGAGAAAGCTATCATAAACACAAAAAGTTAATTTCAAGTATGCAGCCAGAGGAGCAAAAGAATGCAGAGTTATTTGGAAATTGCGTAAACAGGAGCAGAGGAAATGAATGCAAGTAGTACGAGATGTATTTTTCAATACACCCGCAAGTTCTCCGAATATTTTGGAGGAAAGGTAGGAAAACCTAAAAAAATTGGAGGAATTTGATATACCGCAAGAACAACAAGCAATCACACCGCCTCCTTCTCCTGCTGTTACGTTGGATCCTGAATGTAAAGAAAGAGGGAGAAAAAAAATCGCAGAGATAGATCTAATTGTAAAGAGAAAATTTGAAACTACGAATTAAAGCAAAGATGTGGAAGAAAAAATACGAAAAAATTAAAAAGAGAGCTAATCGTAAAAAGAAAGAATTAGTTCAGGTGAAAGAGAATTTAAAACCTAAAGAGAATAATCCTAAGGTAGATTGTGAGGTAGTCTATAAATGTAATATATTGACTAATGCTATCAAAGAAAAATACAAGAAAACTAAAGACGGATGAGTGAAAACTGAGTGGAAGAATATGTTTGATAACATGGATACAGCGCAAAAAAATAAAATCATGAAAGAGAGCTTAGATTTAAAATGTCAAGTCAGGGCAAAAACAACAACGCGCCATGGACATACAGAACTCTTAAAAAAAAGGGATACCGCTGGTAAAAAAGAAATTGTCACTAAAGGCAAAATGAAGATGCAAAATCGGTTTCTTTTGGAGTCTATGAAAAATCTTTTTAAAGCTTTTAAGTCTGAAAATCCAGGAATAAAAAGTTCTTATTTCAATTTAACAAAATAAAGACCGTTCTACGTCGTAAGACCATAAAAATTTGATTTTTTTTTACCTTTATTTATATTTTTTTTATTATTTAAAAATAAAACACTAAAGTATGCTTTTTAAGTCGAAGTATTTCCTTTGGACAACTGTTAATGTCCATTGGGCAACCAAGTTGTCCCCACATTGAAAATCAGTTCTTATTTGATTTTTTGGCTTTAAATTATAAAATTATTTATGTTTATTAGAAGGATAGAAAGTACAAATTAAACTAAACGGTCCGTGGTATAATGTTGCATTACTTACCATTATTTTCAGTTTTATAGGAAAGTTTCATTACGCAAAAAAGATCCCCTGGACAACGGATCATTAGTAGTAGAATATTAAATAAATTATACGTTATTTTATTTAAACAAATATTAAAATGTAGAGACAATGTTACAATATAATAAAAAAATGGATTTTCTTTAATTATTATTGTTAGTTCAGTTATTTAAAAAATCTATATTGTTAGTGGTCCAAGGGACGGATTTTGCTGAGGTTGGTGGATATTTTTCCTCTAAATTTTTGTAATTTAAGAAAACGTCATTGCCCGTTACCGGACCATAAAAATTATTAAATCATCTATTATATGAAATTCAAAAAACTAACTCTTTACGAAAAAATTTAAAAAACACTATTTTGGGCAATGTAGCAATAAAAAGTTTATCGACCCATATATATGAGGGTGTATCTTTATACTTATTATTGTAGGACCGTGGCAAGTAAATCCTCAGTTTGTTCATAGTTGAATTTGAGCAATAAATTTGTGACCTCTTTTTTAATGCTATTTTTATTGAGATGTACTATGGCAATGCATCTACTGATTTTATTATAAATATGAGTCCCCAAATAGTCCAGGAATTTTAGCACCAAAAATCGGTGCGCTCTGCATAAAATC